ACTCCACCCCCATTTGCACCACTCAGGCCATCCTGAGGACGCAGATAAACCTCCAAATGGCCTCAAGGACTCTCTAAAAGAATGCAAATGACCAGCTGTCTGCAAGGAATATAAATCCTTCTTGATTCCCCACCACCCAGTCAGAGCTGAGGAAGCTTCTTGCATGAGAAGTGAAATGTCTTCAAAGAGAAACAAAAAAGTGCAGTTGCCTCCTGAACAAGCAACTTTGGGGCTTACTTTCCATTAAAAGACATGTAAATGAAGGGGGTCTTAATGGAGCTTTGACGTGAAAAGTATCTCATTAAAGCAGTGGTTCTCAACCTGTGGGTCGAGACCCCATTTGGGGTCGAACGACCATTTCACGGGGGTCTCCAAACAACGCAGTCCGCCATTTTTTTCCCCTTTTTCTTAGCTGTGCTACTCCCTTTTAATCTATTGGCTTTTGAAAGCCAATAGAATAGACTCTCTTGAATAGAGTCTAATTCTATTGGCTTTCAAAAGCCAATAGGAATTGTCCAGGCTGTCTCTGCCCTGCTGAGCCCGCCCAAAGTCCCATTCTGCAAACGGTGCTGCACCAGTTGAGTAGTCCTCGACTTACGACCGGTTGAGTAGTCCTCGACTTACGACCGGTTGGGGGTCACGGCATTAAAAAGGTTGAGAACCACTGCATTAAAGGATCCACATAGAAGGGAACTCATATCCTTCATGACATGCTGGAAGCGATTCAGAACCGAAGCAACCTTAATTCCTATGCAAGAACACATATTGGGGAGAAACAACGCGGCAGAAGCGATTTTTATGCACAATTCTTCATTTTCTACCCCATAGGAAGATGAAACTTTAAAAAGGAAGGCTCTTAAACAGAGGCAAATAGTTGATCTGAACTCCAAACTTCGCCCCAATTCTGTTTCTGACTTTTCTGCTGATACTTAACATTTAAGGCAGGGATCCCCAACCTGTGGGGCCTGAGGGCTTTGCAACTGAGCCATGGACGAGTGCACGCACATCCTTACTCTTTCAACCGGGGTGTGAGCGAGCACATGTGGCTGTGCTCCATTTCTGCATAACTCTCTAGCAATTGAGAGGGAGATTGGATCTTGAAAACAAACAACTGTCAAGATTGTTATACCCTTCCACACTCATAACACACACTCGTGCACTCGTGGCTGGCACGAGAGCGCCCACATCCTTTCTCACTCAAGCGGTGTGTAAGCGAGCGCACGTTCCTGTGCTCCAGGTGCGCAAGGGGCAGGTGTGCGTGCACGTTCCTCGTGTAAAGGGAGCTGTGCACGCACTTGCCAGCTGCTTATGCAAACCATCCCCTCTCTCCCCTGCCAGTCTGCAAAACATTGGAGAACTCTTGATTTAAGGTGTAAGAGGATTCAAAACATGGTTCTACTTAAAGTGGGAAATTGTGTATATTGTAGCACCTCTTTCATCTATTTTTTTTATTTGTTTAGCTGCCCATCTTATACATGGTTCCAGCTGGCTTACTATTGACATAAGAGCAAAGTAAAAGCACAACCAATAATTAAAAGCAACAAAATAGCAGTGAGAATAATCAAACACCACACAATACAATCAGACAACGGGCTCATCCAGACTATCAGGGCCCCAGGCTTGATGACAAAGCCAAGGTATTAATGCTTTAAAAAAGGCCAGCAAGGTTGAACTAAGCCGGATCTGGATGGTGGGGAGATGATATTGCCATGGCCCAAAAAACCCACCTCCTAAGTAGCACTAGATGCCACTCTTGGGGATGGAACCCAGAACAAGCTCTCTTGGGCACAAAGCCAGACCTAACAGGGTGGATAGACACTACAGGTAGTCCTCGACATACGACCACAATTGAGCCCAAAATTTCTCTTGTTAAGGGAGACATTTGTTAAAGTCAGTTTTGCCCCATTTTTCAACCTTTCTTGCCTCAGTCGTTAAGTGAATTACCACAGTTGATAAGTTAAGTCACATGGTTGTTAAGTGAATCTGGCTTCCTCATTGACTTTGCTTGTCAGAAGGTCACAAAAGGTGATTGCGTGAGCCCCCAGGACACTGCAACCGTCATAAATAGGATTCAGCTGCCAAGCATCTGAATTTTGATCACAGGACCATGGGGATGCTGCAGTTATGACCGTAATTTTGAAAAGTGGTCATAAATCCCTTTTTTCAGCGCCGTTGTAACTTCAAACGGTCACTACATGAACTGTTGTAAGTCGAGGACTACCTGTACTGGAGACTGTGGGGGGGGGGTTCCATAAGTAACCCAGCCACAAGGCATGAAGGGATTGGAGTGGTTTACCTCACGAGGGGGAAGATCCTGGTGTAGAGTCAAACAAGAGCATAACTCTCTAGCAATTGAGAGGGAGATTGGATTTGGAAAACAAACAAGTGTCAAGATTGTTATACCCTTCCACGCTCACACCTGACCCGCTGTCTTTTACCATGGGTGCCAAACTCGCTGGGTGATGTGTCCTGTCAGAATCCGATTATATTTCATCTCTCGTTATCGACTATGGAAAACCCCACTTCTGCCCTCTCTGGATTCTGTCATACGATGGAGGGGAAGGGGTGGTGGTGAACAAAGGGGTTTTATGGCCCTCACTTCCTTCGGTAAGGACTTCACTTGAATGTGGATACCACCCAAAAGGACTAAAGCATAAGACTGGGGCCATCCGCTTTGATCTGCTCCTCTCTGAAGTCTCCCTTCCACCGGCAGTGAGGAAAAGGGGTTGGAAATGTAGTGCCTGGGATTGTGGCTGGAAAGATGGTGGGGTGGGGCTGCTGGGCACCCCTTAAAATCTTGAACCGCAGGGCTTGGGCCCCAGGTCCTGTCTAGAACGCCTGCAACCGTTTTCTCTTAATAAAGGATGCCTGTTGGAAGGAATATTCCAAGAGTTCTGTCTTCTTAAGATGCCAAGAATTTTTTTGCATTGGCGGAGCTCAGGTGGGCGCAGCCTCCGCACGATGCAAACGGCCCGTGGACCGGCAGTTTGACACCCGTCTTTCACCCTCCAATGAGCCTCACCTGAAGTAACCTCCCCATCACAAGACTCATCACAAGCCTCTGATGACACCCCTGACCCATCACCAGATCCTCACTTGACATACCCACACCTTATAAACAGAAGAGCGCAGATACATCCCCTAAATTCCACTGAATATGTTACCTAGCCTCTCGTAATGAAACATTCAGGAACCAACCACAAGCTTGGAGGACGAACGTATCACCCTCATTCTACAAACCTGAATTGCAGATATTCCTCACTATTGCAAACTTGTGTGGCTTTCTGGTGCTTTGGAAAATAAATTGACCCCCTCTTCTTTATGGCCACCTCTCAAATACTGGAATACTGTTATCGTGTGTCCCCCCCCCCAGTCTTTTCTCTAGACTAGCCAAACCCCAATCCTACAACTGCTCTTCATGCATTTTAGTCTCCAGGCCTTTAATCGTAATAATAATAATAGTAGTACTAGTACTAGTACTAGTAGTAGTAGTAGTAGTAGTAGTAGTAAAGTTAGAAGGGACCTTGGAGGTCATCTAGTCCAACCCCCTGCTCAGGCAGGAAACCCTACACCATTTCGGACAAATGGCTGTCCAGTCTCTTCTTAAAAACTTCCAGTGTTGGAGCATTTCCTGCTTCTGGAGGCAGGTTGTTCCACTGATTAATTGTTCTCACTGTCAGGAAGTTTCTCATCAGTTCTAGGTTGCTTCTCTCTTTGGTTAGTTTCCATCCGTTGCTTCTTTCCTGCCTTCAGGTGCTTTGGAGAACTGCTTGACTCCCTCTTCTTTGGGGCAGCCCCTGAGATATTGGAAGACTGCTATCATGTCCCCCCTCGTCCTTCTCTTCGTTAAACTAGACATACCCAATTCCAGCAACCGTTCCTTATATGTTTTAGCCTCCAGTCCCATGATCATCTTTGTTGCTCTTCTCTATACTCTTTCTAGTTGCTCTTCTTTGCCCTTTGTCCAAAGTCTCAACATCTTTTTTGTAATATTCTGACCAAAACTGGCCAATTAACCAGTGCAACAACTTGCCTCCAGAGGTTGTGGGTGCTCCATCACTGGGGGTTTTTAAGAAGAGACTGGACAGCCACTTGTCTGAAATGGTATATAGCAGTGGTTCTCAACTTGTGGGTCGAGACCCCATTTGGGGTCGAACGACCATTTCACAGGGGTCGCCAAACAACACAGTCCGCCATTTTTTCCCCTTTTCCTTAGCTGTGCTACTCCCTTTTATTCTATTGGCTTTTGAAAGCCAATAGAATAGACTCTCTTGAATAGAGTCTAATTCTATTGGCTTTCAAAAGCCAATAGGAATTGTCCAGGCTGTCTCTGCCCTGCTGAGCCCGCTAAAAGTCTCATTCTGCAAACGGTGCTGCACCAGTTGAGTAGTCCTTGACTTACGACCGGTTGGGTAGTCCTTGACTTACAACCGGTTGGGGTCGCAGCATTAAAAAGGTTGAGAACCACTGGTATGTAGGGTCTCCTGCTTGAGCAGGGGGTTGCACTAGAAGACCCCCAAAGTCTCTTCCAGCTCTATTCTGATTAAGATGAAGATTAATCTTTGTGATTCAAACCAGAATCAGCGACAGAAAGGTGAGGCAAGAGGTTTTCATCAGCATAATAATAATAATAATAATAATAATAATAATAATAATAATAATAATAATAATAATAATAATAAAGTTGGAAGGGACCTTGGAAGTCATGTAGTCCAACCCCGTTCAGGCAGGAAACCTAATACCATTTTAGATAAATGGCTGTCCAGTCTCTTCTTAAAAACCCCCAGTGATGGAGCACCCACAAGCAAGTTGTTGCACTGGTTAATTGTTCTAACTGCCAGGAAGTTTCTCCTCAGTTCTAGGTTGCTTCTCTCCTTGGTTAGTTTCCACCCGTTGCTTCTTGTCCTGCCTTCAGGCGCCTTGGAGAAGAGCTTGACTCCCTCTTCTCTGGGGCAGCCCCTGAGATATTGGAACACTGCAACCATGTCACCCCTGGTCCTTTTCTTCGTTAAACTAGACATACCGGTACCCAATTCCAGCAACCGTTCCTGATACGTTTTAGCCTCCAGACAAAAGTATCTTTCTTTGCAAGATATTTTTTTCCCTGTTAGGAAAATGGTTACATTCTCAGCTGTGGTGCAGGACGGTCAGTTTCGGGACAAAGTCCAAACTTTACCCCCTCAAACTCTTATCCCAACCATCACCCCTTTGGCGTCCCAGGATTAAAAGCAGGGGGCGCCCGGGGGCGCCCTCTTGCAAGAGCCTCCTGTTTGCCCAGCTCAGCAGGAAGCAGCCCTCAGGATGGCGGAGGAGCCGAGCGGAGTTGGGCGAGAAGAGTCCCAGGAGGGAGAACGGCTCCGTTCCCTGCAGGCCCCAAAATCTGGCGGAAACCCTTCCGGGGAGGGAGGCGCGTCTGCCCGGCTGCAGCTGCGCGGCTGGCCTGGGAAGGCGGAGCGCGGATCCTCGTCCTGCGCGCCTCTCTTTTGGGGATCGCGGGCTCGGTCCTCAAGGGCCGGCGCGGGGGAAACTCCGCCCTGGCAAGGATCCGACCGGCCCCTGCGACTCATCCTTGCCCCTTGATGAGACGCTTCCAAAAGGGCCAGGACTTTTGAAGAAGCGTCTTTGGGGGGTGGAAAAACAACCCCTCTGGAATACAAGGTGGAGAGGTATGTTGTGTGCGTGCTTGTGCGTTTCTGCGCGCGGTGGAATACAAGGCGGAGGGGAATTTTGCGTGTTTGTGCGCACTCTGAATTAACATGGCGGAAGGGTATTTTGGATCTGTGCTCTGGTGTAGAAAGTGGAGGGGTATTTTGTGTATGTGTGTGTTTGTGTGTGCTCTGGTGTACGAAGTGGAGGGATACTTTTGTGTGTGTGTGCGTGCGTGCGTGCTCTGGGATACTTGGTGGAGGGGCGTTTTGCGGCTGGGGCTGTGTCTCTGATTGTTTTACGTATTTCCCCCTTTTTCTGTGTTAAATTGAAATAGTTGGTCGCAAAAGCGACTGCCTGTGAATGCTCCTGGATTGGAGTTGAAAGGCAAAGGCAGAAGCAGTAGACTCTGTCCCATATAGTAATAGTAATAGGAGTAAAGTTGGAAGGGACCTTAGAGGTCATCTAGTCCAATCCCCTGCTCAGGCAGGAAACCCTACACCATTTCGGACAAATGGCTGTCCAGTCTCTTCTTAAAAACTTCCAGTGTTGGAGCATTTACTGCTTCTGGAGGCAGGCTGTTCCACTGATTAATTGTTCTCACTGTCAGGAAGTTTCTCCTTAGTTCTAGGTTGCTTCTCTCCTTGATTAGTTTCCACCCGTTGCTTCTTGTCCTGCCTTCAGGTGCTTTGGAAAATAGCTTAATTCCCTCTTCTTTATGGCAGCCCCTTTATTTGGGTACATCAGGTTGCTCTGATAGACAGATGTAAAAGAGATGTTGAGAGTCTAGAAAGTGTGCAGAGAAGAGCAACAAAGATGATCAGGGGACTGGAGGCTAAAACATGCAAAGAACAGTTGTTGGAATTGGGTATGTCTAGTTTAATGAAAAGAAGGACTAGGGTGAAAGGAGAAAGTTCCTGGCAGTTGGAACAATTAATCAGTGGAACAACTTGCCTCCAGAAGTTGTGAATGCTCCAACACTGGAAATTTTTAAGAAGAGATTGGACAACCATTTGTCTGAAATGGTATAGAGCAGGGGTTCTCAACTTTGGCAGCTTTAAGACTTGTGGACTTCAACTTCCAGAATTCCTCAGCCAGCTTTGCTGGCTGAAGAATTCTGGGAGTTGAAGTCTACAAGTCTTAAAGTTGCCAAGGTTGAGAACCCCTGGTATAGAGTTTCCTGCCTGAGCAGGGGGTTGAACTAGATGACCTTGTAAGGACCCACCCCACTTTGCATCTTAAGAAGACAGAACTCTTGGAATAATTCTTCCAACAGGAATCCTTTATTAAGAAGAAGTGGTTGCAGGCATGCTAGACAGGACTTGGGGTCCAAGCTCTCCCATTCAAGGTTTTAAGGGGTTCCCCAGCAGTCCCACCCAATCATCCCCCCTTCCAGTGATAGTTTCAGGCATCACAATTCCACCCCCTTGCTCCTTTCTTTCGGCTGTATGGAGACTTCAAATAAACTACATGAAAGGTAAATAGCTCTCTTTTGTCATGGTAAGGTTCTTTGATGCTAGTTACATTCAAAGTCTCTGTTTGATGTTGCAATAGACACATTCAATTCCTTAGAAGTATACTGAAGGAAGTGAGGGCCATAAAGCCCCTTTGTTCTCCCCCTTCTCTTCCTCTTATGGCAGAATCCAGAGAAGGCAGAATTGGGGTTTTCTATATTTGATGATTAAAGATGAAATATAATTGGATTCTGACAGACCTCCAAGGTCCCTTCCAACTCTGTTATTCTGCTATTCTTCTTAGCATGGGAAGCAGAAGCGTTATTAGGAACAATAATCATTCAGTCCCTTTAAATGCTGCAGAATTCACAGAGGCTGTCAGCAGTTTGCAAAGTGTTGGCAAGGTTTAAAAACAAGGAAACCACAAAAGAATTAGAAGGGGGGAGAAGCTTTAAGAAATCTGAATGGAAACAAACAAAAAGAAAAGGGCTTCAGGAATTTCACGGCCCTTCAAAATCCAATAGGATAGGTCACATTTGAATGGGGGGGGGGAGAGGACTCTTAATCTCATTCTACAGTTTTGAATAAGGTTGCTTTTTTTTTCAATCAAGGAAAATCTTTGCATTTCTTTTGCAACAGGGAGAGAATAAATGAACTCCCAACAGGCAGAAGGAGTAGTCCTGGCTGTGACTCATAGGATAATTCTTCAAAATTTGATTAGAATAGAATAGAATAACAGAGTCGGAAGGGATCTTGGAGGTCATCTAGTCCAATCCCCTGCTCAGGCAAGAAACCCTACCATTTCAGACAAATGGTTGTCCAATCAAGGAGAGAAACAATCTGCAACTAAGGAGAGAGTTCCTGACAGTTGGAACAATTAATCAGTGGAAAAACAATACTCCAACACTGGAAGTTTTTAAGAAGAGATTGGACAACCAGTTGTCTGAAATGGTATAGAGCAGTGGTGGCGAACCTATGGCATGGGTGCCAGAGGCGGCACTCGGAGCCCTCTCTGTGGGCGCACATGCCGTTGCCCCAGCCTTGCCTCCGCCCGTGACCCCCTCCACAGCAGCAGCCTCCCTGGAGGAGAGTCCAAAGATGATCACTTTCCCAACGGAAACCTCTTTTTTTGCAAAGAAAACCTGTTTATTATTTTTAAAAAATCCCTCGCTTTCCCTTTTTTATGGCTGTCTCCTGTTTGAATCCCAAAGTCCAAAGTTTGCCCCTTCAAACCCCTTAACTCCCCCCCCCCTTTGCTTCCTAGGATTAAAACAGGATCCGCCCAGGGGCGCCCTCTTCCCAAAAGCTTTTAGGTCAGTGGGAAGGAGTCCATAGGATCTGGGAGGATCTGGAAGAGGAGGAGGAGGGAAGAGGGAGGGACCTAAATAGGGAAAAGCAATCTCTGCTTCCACTTTAAATCCCTGACCGCAGTCTTTCCGTGGAAGGAGGGAGGTGCAGCTTGCTGGGAAGGCAACTGGCGTTGGAGCAGCTGTGAGGAAGGCGTTGCACGAATCCTGCCCTGCGCGCCTCTTCTTGGAGGACAGAGTCCCAGGCCCAGGGGCAGAGTAGGGTAAGAAGCTTCCACTCTCCTCTCCCTTCAGACACTTCTGGTAACGAGACGGGGAAAGTGCTTGGAAATTATGACTTTTAAATGCTGCTTTTAGGCATCCCTCCTAAGATTGTTCCTGTAGGCACCACTCTTTCTCCCTGGAGTTGTGGAGTTCCCCCTACACACACACCGCCAACCACTGGAAGTTTTTCCAAAAGAGACCGGACAACCATTTTGACCAGGATAGTATAAAGCAGTGTTTCTCAACCTTGACAATTTTAAGGCATGTGTGGACTTCAACTCCCAGAATTCCACAGCCAGCAGCCTTGAGCAGAGGGGGTTGGACTAGAAGACCTTAGGGGTTCCTAGGATTCTGTGTTCTGTGATAGTTTCCCATGGGATTTTTTTCCCAGTGCTGTGTCAGGTAGCCCTTGATTGAAATGGCCGCTGGCCACTTTCTCCTACAACACAGCTTGCCTCCCGGACTTGTAGCTGCCCCAGGTACTGGAAGTTTTTCAGAAATAGACCCGGATCACCATTTGACCTATAAGGCCTTCTGCCTTGCACAGAGTTGGGGTTGGGCTAGAAGACCTTGGAGGTCCCTCCCAGCCTTAGGATTCTATGTTCTATGATCATTTCCCATGGGTTTTATATTGATGATGATGATAATAATAATAACAATAGTAATAAAGTTGGAAGAGGTCTTGGAGATCATCTAGTCCAACCCCCTGCTCAGACAGGAAATCCTATACCATTTCGGACAAATGGCTGCCCCTGGTGCTTTAGTCAGGTCCAGAAGCCTTTGATTGAAATGGCTGCTGAATACCCTGGAGGAATTCCTGCTTTGCTCCTTTATTTCTTTGCTCATGCCAGACTGCCATTAACCCTGGGGGAAAGGGGGGGGAGGGAGCCATCAAGGGGGAGAGAGCCCAGGCCACAAGCAAGGAAATGGAATGTGGACCCATGGCCAAGCCAGCCAAGCCAATTGGACATCAGGGAGATAATTGGGGGGGGAGGGCTTGAGAGAGGGGAAAGTAAGTGGGCAATCTTAGCCTGCAAACCTCATATCTGTTTTTTTTCTCCTTTCTCGTAACCACTCGTCTTTAGTAAAAGTAAAAGGTCCAATCAGTCAATTTCAACTTCTTGCGGAGGTGGGGGGGGGGAAGTTCTTGCAAAGTTGGAATTGATTGATTGAACTTTTTAGTCCCACCCAGTCTGCCATTACCACTGCAGCTACACCCACCCAATGGGCCACACCCATCCTGCCCTCGACAATGCGTAAGTGGGTTTTGGGTTGCAGTTTGGGTACTCAGTCTTTAAACGCTTCGCCATCACTGGTCTAGGCTCTTCTTAAAAATCTCCAGTGGTGGAGCACCCAAAATTTCTGGGAACAAGTTGTTCCACTGATTAATTGTCCTCCCTGTCAGGAAGTTTCTCCTTAATTCCAGGTTGCTTCTCTCTTTGATCAGTTTCCAACCACTGTTTCTTCTCCTGCCCTACTGATAACAAAACAAAATGGGTTTTGTTATCAGTAAAAAGAGCAGCAGGTCCATTTTGTACAGAGGTGGTTCAGGAAAGTTGCCCCATTCATGCATCTCGCTCAAGGCTCCGTTTCAGCTGACGACGCCCCCCCCCCGTCCCGATTGAATTTGCCCGCATTTCTTCATGGGTTCCTTTTTGTTTTTCCATGTCCTTGTTTTTTATATCGCCACTCAAGAAAGATTCATTCATCAAGGAGAGAAGCAAGCTGGAATTAAGAAGAAATCTCCTAACGGGGAGGACAGTTAACCAGTGGAACATCTTTGCCTTCAGACGTTGTGGTGCTTCATCACCGGAGCTTTTAAGGAAAAAAAACTGGAGGGCCCCCTTGTCTGAAATGGCACTATAGGGTCTCCTGCTTGAGCTGGGGGTTGGACTGGAAGACCTCCAGAGGTCTCTTCCAGCTCTCTAGTCTGACTCCAAAGTGCTGGGGGCAGTGTGTATTTGAAAAGAAATCATCCATTTCCTATAAGCCAGTGGTTCTCAACCTGTGGGTCGGGACCCCATTTGGGGTCGAACGACCGTTTCACAGGGGTCTCCAAACAACGCACTCCGCCATTTTTTTCCCCCTTTTCCTTAGCTGTGCTACTCCCTTTTATTCTATTGACTTTTGAAAGCCAATAGAAGAGATTCTCTTGAATAGAGTCTAATTCTATTGGCTTTCAAAAGCCAATAGGAATTGTCCAGGCTGTCTCTGCCCTGCTGAGCCCGCCAAAAGTCCCCTTCTGCAAGCGGTGCTGCACCAGTTGAGTAGTCCTCGACTTACGACCGGTTGAGTAGTCCTCAACTTACGAGCAGTTGGGGGTCGCGGCATTAAAAAGATTGAGAACCACTGCTGTAGGCTATTCCAAAGGGCAAGTGCCACCTGTGGAAAAAAAAGAGTTTTTCTTCCCTGATTATCTGACAGGGAGGGTGAACACTCACTAGAACTCCCTGAGATGGGATCTGCTTGAGGCCTCCAGGTCAAGCTCTGTGATGCTTCAGTGCATACATTCATGGCTGTGAGGCCTGCCTTTGAATCCAATCCCTGGTCCTTCCACACCTTTCAGTTTTCTCCTCACCCAGAGTCAGCTTCTGTGTGTTGTTGCTGTGGCTGCAAAGCACTCAGATAAACTGATTCTCTACTTAGCACAGAAATAGGTAAAAATCGCCCTTCCGCACTGCAGGTTCAAGAATGTCGCTAGGATGTTTGATCGCAAATTATTGCTGTTTCCCCCCCCACACTGGTAAATAGTCCTCGACTTACGGCCACAATTGGGCCCAACATTTCTGTTGCTAGGGGAGACATTTGTTAAGTGAGGTTTGCCCCGTTTTTATGACCTTTCTTGCCACCGTTCTTAAATGAATCGCTGCAGTTAATACGTTAACTGCACTTAACGGTGGTTAAGTGATTGTCATAAGTTCACGGAAAGGGGATCACATGACCCTTTCAGGGTCATCAATATGAACCAGTTTGCCAAGCATTTGAATTTGGATCACACGCACTCGTCGTCTTAAAAGGTTCGCCATCACTGACCTAGAGGCTTTGCACTTTGTTTATTCCTTTGGAAAGATTCTCCAAAGAAGATGTTTATTTGCCCTGCTTGGAAATTTTTGCTGATGGCTTTGTTCATTATGAACAAAACTTGCATATAATTTACTGAATTTTTCATTAATAGGAATGTTCATAGAATGTTCTCTTTCTGTTTTAGGAGTTGCCACGGATATAGCTGTGTTTTTCTCCATGGAGGAAGGGGCCCTGGTGGATGCTGAGGAAAAAGCCCTGCACCGAGAGGTCATGCTGGAAAACACAAAGAATATGGCCTCCTTAGGTAAGAGATTCTGTTAAGATGTTTATATTTATATTTGTAAAATTATTAAGATGTTTATATTTATAATAATAATAATAAAGTTGGAATGGACCTTGGAGGTCATCTAGTCCAACCCCCTGCTCAGGATGGAAACCCTACACCATTTCAGACAAATGGCTGTCCAGTCTCTTCTTAAAAAACTTCCAGTGTTGGAGCATTCACTGCTTCTGGAGGCAAGTTGTTCCACTGGTTAATTGTTCTGTCAGGAAATTGTAAATATATATATATACATTGCTTACTGGTGTACACCGCTTAGAGAGTGCTTGCACTTAAAGCGGTATATAAGTCTCATAAATAAAATAAATTTCTCCTTAGTTCTAGGTTGCTTCTCTCCTTGATGAGTTTCCATCCATTGCTTCTTGTCCTGCCTTCAGGTACTTTGGAGAATAGCTTGACTCGCTCTTCTTTGTGGCAGTTCCTGAGATATTGGAACACTGCTATCATGTCCCCCCTCGTCCTTCTCTTCATTAAATTAGATATACCCAATTCCAGCAACCGTTCCTTATATGTTTTAGCCTCCAGTCCCCTAATCATCCTTGTTGCTCTTCTCTGTACTCTTTCTAGAATCTCAATATCTGTTTTACATTGTGGTGACCAAAACTGGATGCAGTATTCCAAGTGTGGCCTTACCAAGGCATTGTAAAGTGGCATTAACACTTTACGTGATCTTGATTCTATCCCTCTGTTAATGCAGCCTAGCACTGTGTTGGCCTTTTTGGCAGCTGCAGCCCACTGCTGGCTCATATTTAAGTGATTGTCCACTAGGAGTCCAAGATCCCTCTGACAGTTACTACTATTGAGCAAGGTACCCCCTATACTATAACTGTACATTTGGTTTTTCTTGCCTAAGTGTAGAACCTTATTTTTTTCATCATTGAATATCATTTTGTTAGATAGCGCCCAGTGTTCAAGTCTGTCCAGATCCTCCTGTATCTTCTGGAGTGTTGGCTATTCCTGCCAGCTTGGTGTCGTCTGTAAATTTGATGAGTTCCCTACCTATCCCCTCGTCCAAATCGTTGATGAAGATGTTAAAGAGCACTGGGCCCAGAACAGAGCCATGGGGCACCCCACTACACACTTCCCTCCATGTAGATGCAGTTCCATTGAGGACCACACGCTGAGTATGGCGGTCAACCAGCTACGAATCCATCTGGTAGTGATGCTGTCTTACCCACATTTTTCTATCTTATCAAGTAGTAGGTTGTGATCTACTTTATCAAATGTCTTACTGAAGTCCAAGTAAATTATATCCACAGCATTCCTCTGATCCACTAATTTTGTCACTTGGTCAAAGAATGCAATAAGATTTCTCTGGCATGATCTGTTTTTGACAAACCCATGTTGGCTTTTAGTAATGACTTTGTTTGCCTCTACATGTTCGCTGATCCGTTGTTTGATTATCTTTTCCAGAATCTTCCCTAGGTATTGAGGTCAGGCTGATAGGTCTAGGTCTATAGTTTCCTGAATTTATTTTTTTCCCATTTTTGAAGATGGGAACTACGTCAGCTCTTTCCCAGTCCTCTGCTAGTTCCCCAGTGCTCCAGGATCTTTCAAAAATATAGTTCAGTGGTTCTGAGATCATATCTGCCAGTTCCTTGAGAGCCTTGGGGTGTGATCCATCTGTTCCTGGTGATTTGAACCTGTCTAGGCTGGACAGGTGTTCACTTACCATTTTCTTGCCTATCTTAACTTGTGTTTCTAATCTGTTTTTTTTTTAATGGTACTGTTTTTGATAGGTTGGACTGTTTTTTTCCCTTTGTGTAAAGACAGATGCAAAGAATGAGTTAAATAGTTCTGCTTGCTCCCTGTTTCTTGTTACCTTCTTGCCACTTTCCCCCAATGGACCAATCATTTCCTTCACTTTTTTCTTGTTTTTTACATGTTGAAAGAAGCTTTTTTTATTATTTTTGACTTTGGTTGCAAGCCTTAGTTCATTTTGAGCCTTAGCTTTCCTCACTTCATCTTGCAAGCACGTGCTATTTGCTGATATTCTGCCTTAGTTATGTGCCCCTCTTTCCACTTTTTATACTTGTCCTTTTTATCTTTCAATTTATCAGAGTTCTTTATACAGCCATGCTGGTTTCTGTTGAGAGCTGTTATTTTTCTTCTTTGTTGGTATTGTGCTAGACTGGGCTTTTAGGTTGAAAGGATCACACACCTTGGTTCCATTTTACATGAAAGCTGGGACATGACCGTTGAAGTAAAGACAGGGATAGAAAAAGCTCGAATGGCATTCTTCAAAATGAAAAAGGTCTTCTGCAGTCATGACATAAGCCTAAGATTGAAAATCAGGCTTCTCATATGCTATATTTTTTCTATCTTGCTCTATGGAGTAGAGAGCTGGTCTCTGACAGAAGGCCACCTGAAGAGAGTAGAAGCATTTGAAATGTGGATTTACGCATAAGCTGGGTTGACAAGATCAGAAATGAGGTGATAAGCCAGCTGGGAAAGCCAAGGGAAATCCTCAAAACAATTAAAAAACGAAAATTAGAATATTTTGGACATGTGATGCGACACTCAGAAAAATACGGTATATTCCATTTAATCCTCCAGGGAAAGATTGAAGGCAAACAAGGTTCAGGCAGAAGAAGAACATTGTGGCTTCAAAATCTAAAGGACTAATTTGGACAAAACTCAGCAGCACTTTTTCATGCGGCTGCTGATAAGAACAGGATTGCCAACATGATCGCCAACGTCTGATAACGAATATGGCACAAGAAAAAGAAGGGCTTTTATTATCTCTCTTTTCAAAATTTCCCAAGCTTCTTAAGTTGTTTTCCCCTTGAGGATTCTCATCCATGGAATCCTTCCCAAGCTCTCTCTAAGTTTATTGAAATTAGCTTTCTTAAAGTCCAAGACTCTAGTTTGACTGTGTCCTATTGCTTTAGTAGCTGGAACAGTGGGGTTGTAAAATGAGTCAGAAGTTACAGTTATAGCTGATTGGTTGGAGAGAGCTGTTTCTTGTCTGAGGCAATCTATGCTGTGATTGGTTACTGTGAGTGTAAAGGAGGACTTTCCTTCTTTCCCGCCTTTTTTCCTCTGTATGCTCTGTAATTTTACCTCAGGATGACCCTGTTAGCCTGACTATCTTGTTTACTGTAAATATTGATATAAAATATATTAATTTAAACAAAAACTACAAGTTCGTGTCAGCGTCTCTGCCCTCATTTAGACACCTGCTGCGCAATTTCCTGACAGATTCTCTTTCCTCTGGATTGAAAGTGTAGTGGACGTGAGCAGCTGATCTGTTTCTCAGATGAACTCCTAGTTTCTTCCTGTATGCAGTAAACAGCAGTGTCCTTATCTGCGTTTCTACTCCTACTTAGTCTGAGAAAATGACCTCCACATTGTCTCCCTGACGTTTTCCATCCTAGCCAGTTTCTGATTCTGTCTATCCCACTTTATAGAGAGCTTTTTAGAAGCTGCTTTCATTTTGCTGTTTTTTGGTCTATAATGATGGGTCCACAGCTTGATCGCAAGGATGTACGGTAACTTCTAGCAAAGTTGTTTGTCTGATTGGCCAGGTCCTCAGCAGATGGGATCTTCAAACCCTAATCCATCCCATTTTTTCTCTTTTTTAGTGCTACCTGAAAATGCAAGAACAACTAGAGATACTGTAAATCTCTATGGAGATTCTCAGTCATCCAAGTCATAGTTGTCCCAAAGGTGCTTTTTCAAAAGTCAACTGAACTTTATTGGTTTTTAAGGGATTTCATTTCCTCTGGACTGAAAGGGTGGTGGAAGTGAGCAGCTGATCTATTTCTAAGTTGAAATGCTATTCATTGTGTATGGTTAACTGCATTTTTACTTCTAGATGGTTTGTTAAGATGAACTAAACCCTCCACACTGTCTCCAGGAGGAGGAGAGAGAGGTGTTTTCCCATGCAGTTTCTCATCCTGTCTGTTTCACTTTGTAGTCTTAGGAATGGCTTTCATTTTGCTAATGTCAGACTTGCCCCAGTCCGATCTCTTAGGAAAGAAAGCATCTCAACTCCATTTAATTGAAATGATCGGTTCTTTTACTAAAGAAATGTTGGTTGCAGTAGAGTCAGACTACAACTAAATTTATGGAATGGAATGGAATAAGTATTAAGAGTAGAAAATAGAATAGAATAAGAATTAAGAGTAGAACAGGACAGAAACGAACAGAATAGAATAGAATAACAGAGTTGGAAGGGACCTTGAAGGTCTTCTAATCCAACCCCCTGATCAGGCAGGAAACCCTATACCAGGGGTAGGCAACCTCGGCTCTTTTATGACTCATACGGGAATTCTGGGAGTTGAAGTCCATGAATCATAAAAGAGCTGAGGTTTATTTATTTATTATTTATTTATGAGACTTATATACTGCTTTTAAGTGCAAGCACTCTCTAAGGGGTGTACACCAATAAGCAATGTATGTATATATATATATATTTACATTGCCCCCAACACTCTGGGTCCTCATTTTACCTACCTCGGAAGGATGGAAGGCTGAGTCAACCTTGAGCCGGTGAGATTTGAACCGCTGATCTGCTGAACACAGTCAGCTAAAGTGGCCTGCAGTACTGCACTCTAAATGCTGCGCCACCTCAGCTCCTAGGTTGCCTACCCCTGCCCTATACCATTTCAGACAAATGGTTGTCCGATCTCTAGAGCAGTCACAATTTCTGGAGGCAAGTTTTCCCACTGATTAATTGTTCCAACTGTCAGGAATATTTTTTCTTAGTTCTAGGTTGCTTCTCCCCTTGATTAGGAGATACAAATGGTTTTCCCTCCTCCCAGCCCTCCTCCCATGACCAGTCCATCTTCAAGCAATAAGGATCCACCTAGGTATTTTGAGAACACTGAGATGTTTGGGGAAATCCACATTCTTTCTCAGGGTACATGGCTTCAGGTGCTGGTACAAACTGTTTCAGAGCTTCTTTGTACTTCCATTTCCCCTCCTCCCTGTTTCCCATCATGTACACACACAGGTTAATTGCCCATTTGTCCCCCATGTCCTCCCTTCTCCTAGCCTTTGATGGCAGGATGCCAGCAAGCGCCCCCCCCCGCCCATTTTCATGGAGATCTTCCTTAGGGACAACTAGGGGAGAATGAACATGTCCAAACTGAAAACCGGTATTTTCAAGGGAAAACTTCCTCAAGCAGAGTTAGGACATCCATCCACCCATCAATCAGAATAAACCTGAAAGGGACCTTGGAGGTCTTCTGTTCCAACCCCCTGCTCAAGCAGGAGACATCAGTCGATGCTTCCCCTTTCTCCAATGTAAATTTGGTGAACCTGTTCTCTCTCATCATCCAATTTTTGAACAAAGTCAGCTTTCAAAAGTCCCTCCTGTATCCTTTGAACTGAACCTGAAGGAGAAGCAGAGTTGATGGGGACCCACCCTGAGACTCAAAAATGATTTTCCCCAAAGCATCAGGGGTTTGTATTCTGCAGCACAGACAGCAAGAGGGAAGCCTGTGGCAGATTATTATATCGACTACTGAAGATATGAACATAATACCATGTTTTGAACACAGCCTGCTAGAAGCAGGGAGAAGAATCACAAAAAGAGCTGTGGGAAGTCAACTCCCCAGAGAAGGAAATATTAAAAGGGCAGAAAAATATATTTCCTTCAAGGATCTTAAAGAGACAGAAAAGCATGCCCAGTTTTTCTTGATAGCCCCAGGTCTCCCTCCCCCAAGCAGAAGCCAGCTCTGTACAAATGCAGGTGTAAGCCATCAGGAAAGTTTGAGCCAGAAGCTCAAGAAGACAAAGACCTAAAATCTGCATACCTCACCTGTGAGAGGACATGGTAGGATTAACTCACAAATACCAGAAAGGCACACCCAGGTCAGATTACGTGACACAGGAAATACAAAGCCTGAAACAGGAACAGGAACCACTTCAAACAAAAGGCTAGATAGGGTACAAAAACCTACCGTATATGCCGGCGTATAAGGCAACTTCCGCAAGCATTAAAATCGGCGCCACAGACGGGGGTCGTCTTATACGCCAAGTCGTCTTATACACCGGAAATACTGGTAGTTTCCAGCGTATAAGATGATGTTCTAGGAATGCGACTCGGCGCCAAAGACAGGGGTTGTCTTGTACACCGGGATATACGGTACTACCCATGTGCTCAGGCCCTTCTTTTCTCTGGTCTTTCCTGCAAGAACCATCTTTCTGGCTTTTCAATAAACTGCTACCTTCTTTCTAAAGCAATTGCCATATTCTTTATTTATCCCTAACTTGGATGAACCAGGATAAAGACTTTTCTTTCAACAGAGCTAAGAGAAAAATAGAAATGGTGGTGGGAGTTTCAGGAATGTTCAAATAAGGGATGCAACAAATGATGCTTAATTCCTTTCACACCACCATTTGTGTCATGTATCCTTTTTTTTCTCCCCCCCAAATAGGTGGTGATGTGAAGATAGAGGGTTCTAGCCAAGCAGTGGCAACACCTTTTCTAACAGCCAAAAAGGAAGATGCGGAAAAGATGAGTGAAAAGGAAAGGCTTGGGGGAAAGGAGGAGCTGAAGAAATACTCTAGTTTCCAGTGTGCAGATATCGGCTCTTTCTTGCACAGTGATGATCCCCAAGAAAAAGGAGCATGTCCAGGGTGCGGGAAAATACCCAGAGATGAATTGGGATTATGTGATTGTGTAGAGAAACAAAGTGAAAGCGGGGAATGCTCGAGAAGGACCCTTCCTCTTACTTTTCATCAGAAAATACAAGAGGGAGAGAAACTGTACAAATGCACGGAGTATGTGGAAAACTTTGGTACAAGCCATTCCTTCACATCCCATAAAAACATTCCCAAAACAGGGGCTCCATACAAATGCCTGGAATTTGGAGAAAACATCAGTCAGAAAAGTCACCTGAATTCCCATCAGAGGATCCACAAAGGGAGGAAGCGGCATCAATGCATCACCTGCGGAAAGAGCTTCGGAAGGAGCACCTCTCTAACTTCCCATCAATGCATCCACAGCAAGGAGAAGTATCAATTCAGGGAGGGTAGAATGAAGCTTACCCAGAGCCAGGAACAGAATTCCTGGAAAAAAAAACCCACTGGGAATGATTCATGTAAATGCCTGGAATGTGGGAAGAGCTTCCGTTCTGCAACTCACCTCACTTATCATAATAGGATCCATTCTGGGGAAAAACCATATCATTGCACAGTGTGTGGAAAGAGCTTCACCCAAAATGGCAATTTCAATTTACATAAGAGGATCCATACCGGAGAGAAGCCGTATAAATGCACAGAGTGTGGAAAATGCTTCAAGACCCGTGGTGCCCTTACTTCTCATAAGACAATTCACACGGGGGAGAAACCCTATGAATGCCTGGAGTGTGGGAAAAGCTTTGCCAGAAGCGGTACTCTAACCTTACATAACAGGATCCATAAAGGGGAGAAACCTTATAAATGCCTGCACTGTGGAAACAGCTTTAGTCAAAAAGTGCATCTTCAGTCACACGAGAGGATCCACACAGGGGAAAAACCATTTCAATGCATGGAGTGTGGAAAGAGCTTCCGTGCCTCAGAAAAACTTACTGCCCATCGCAGAAGCCACACGGGGGAAAAGCCCTTTCAATGCCTGCAATGTGGAAAGCGCTTTGCCAGTTCCGGTGGCTTTTATGCCCACGAACGGATCCACACAGGGGAGAAACCGTACAAATGCCTGGAGTGTGGAAAGAGCTTCCGCAAATCCAGCCACCTAACTTCCCATAACAATATCCACACTGGAGAGAAACCATATCAATGTTCCGAATGTGGAAAGTGCTTTAATCAAACAAGTAACCTTAATAAACATAAAAGGATCCACACAGGGGAAAAGCCTTATAAGTGCACCGAATGTGACAAATGCTTCACTGGCTCGGGGGCCCTTGTTTGCCACAAAATGACCCACACCGGAGAGAAACCATACGAATGCAAGGAATGTGGAAAAAGCTTCGGTCTAAAAAGAACTTTAATAATACATTACAGAATCCACACTGGGGAGAAACCATACAAATGCACAGCGTGTGGAAAGAGCTTCAGTGATCCTCAAGAACTTGTTTCCCATGAAAGGATCCACACTGGGGAAAAACCCTATAAGTGTGTGGTGTGTGGAAGGGGCTTTAGGACCTCCCGTGACTGTGGTTCCCACAAGCGGACCCACACAGGTGAAAAGCCATACCAATGTGGGGAGTGTGGAAAATGCTTTAGTCAAAATTCCTCCCTTCATATCCATAGAAGAATTCACTCAGGAGAGAAACCATATAAGTGTATGGAGTGTGGAAAATGCTACAGTCGTAGTGGTGCTTTTAATTACCATAGGAGGACACATACTGGTGAGAAACCAGATAAAAGAGTTGAACGTAGAAAAATAATTAGTTAGAATCAGTCACGTAAAATCGGTAGAAAGATTCATTCACCGAAGACGCCATTAAATGTATCAAGCGTGGAAAGAGCTTTTTTAAAAATAAAATAAAACAAAACTTTATTTTTCTTGTTAAAAGATTTGCTCATTGGAGAAACTACTATGAATATCTCAAGGTAATAAAGTGCTTCAGTGCCTCTTGTTTGCTTATTCCCATAAATTGATTTAGCTGGAAGAAACCATAGAAATACGCTGAATGTGGGAAGTGTTTCTGAAGCACCAGAAACCTTACTTTCCATACATCTATGGAGATTCTCAGTTATCCAGATCATGGTTGTCCCAAAGGTGCTTTTTCAGGAGGCAACTGGACTTTCTTGTTGTTCTTCGAAGACGTTTCGCTTCTCATTCAAGAAGCTTCTTCAGCTCTGACTGGATGGTGGGAAATGGAAGGATTTATACTCCTTGCAGAAAGCTGGTCATTTGCCTTCTTTTACAAATGCCTTTGAAGACATTTTCTTTTCTTTGAAGACATTTAGCTATGCACTTTGGGATGAACACCCTTCCATTGGACCTGTGCTTGTCTTCAACAGCGAAGGACAGAAAACATCTTACAGCCAAGAAGACTCCACACCCATTTGCACCACTCAGGCCATCCTGAGGACGCAGATAAACCTCCAAATGGCCTCAAGGACTCTCTAAAAGAATGCAAATGACCAGCTGTCTGCAAGGAATATAAATCCTTCTTGATTCCCCATCACCCAGTCAGAGCTGAGGAAGCTTCTTGTGTGAGAAGTGAAATGTCTTCAAAGAGACACAAAAAAGTGCAGTTGTCTCCTGAACAAGCAGCTTTGGGGCTTACTTTCCATAAAAAGACATGTAAATGAAGGGGGTCTTAATGGAGCTTTGATGTGAAAAGTATCTCATTAAAGGATCCACATAGAAGGGAAATTATATCCTTCATGACATACTGGAAGCGATTCAGAACCGAAGCAACCTTAATTCCTATGGAAGAATACATATTGGGGAGAAACAACGCATCACAAGCGCAGAAGCGATTTTTATGCACAATTCTTCATTTTCTATCCCATAGGAAGATGAAACTTAAAAAATGAATGCTCTTAAACATAGGCAAATAGTTGATCTGAACTCCAAACTTTGGGGACTGCCACAACTCTGTTTCTGACTTTTCTGCTGATACTTAACATTTAAGGCAGGGATCCCCAACCTGTGGGGCCTGAGGGTTTTGCAACTGAGCCATGGACGAGTGCACACACATCCTTACTCGTTCAACCGGGGTGTGAGCGAGCACACGTGGCTGTGCTCCATTTCTGCATAACTCTCTAGCAATTGAGAGGGAGATTGGATCTTGAAAACAAACAACTGTCAAGATTGTTATGCCCTTCCACACTCACACCTGACCCGCTGATGTCTTATACCACGGGTGCCAAACTCGCCGCGCGACGGGACATGTCGTGACATATCATGACTTTTTTTGCATTGCCGGAGCTCAGGTGGGCGCAGCCTCCGCATGGTGCAAACGGCCCGTGGGCTGGCAGTTTGACACCCATCTTTCACCCTCCAATGACCCTCATCTGAAGTAACCTCCCCATCACAAGACTCATCACAAGCCTCTCTGATGACTCACACCTGACCCATCACCAGATCCTCACTTGACATACCGTATTTACCGGCGTATAAGGCGACCCGGCGTATAAGGCGACCCCCGACTTCAGCGCCGATTTCAATGCCTAGAAAGTCTTATCCGCCGGAAACTACCGTAATTTCCAGCGTATAAGACGACTCGGAGTATAAGATGACCCCCGACTTCAGCGCCAATTTCTGCGCTTTAGAAAGTCGTCTTATACGCCGGAAAATACGGTACCCACACTTTATAAACAGAAGAGCGCAGATACTGACATCCCCTAAATTCCACTGAATATGTTACCTAGCCTTGTAATGAAACATTCAGAAACCAACCCACAAGCTTGGAGGGCGAACTTTCATCCTCATTCTACAAACCAGAATTCCAGATATTCCTCACTATTGCAAACTTGTGTTGCTTTCTGGTGCTTTGGAAAATAAATTGACCCCCTCTTCTTTATGGCCACCTCTCAAACACTGGAATACTGCTATCGTGTCCCCCCCCCCAGTCCTTCTTTTCTCTAGACTAGCCAAACCCAAATCCTGCAACTGTTCTTCATGCGTTTTAGTCTCCAGGCCTGTAATCATCTTAATTGTTCTTTGCACTTTTTCCAAAATCTCAACATCGTTTTTGTAATATGGTGAGCAAAACTGGCCAATTAACCAGTGCAACAACTTGCCTCCAGAGGTTGTGGGTGCTCCATCACTGGGGGTTTTTAAGAAGAGACTGGACAGCCACTTGTCTGAAATGGTATATAGGGTCTCCTGCTTGAGCAGGGGGTTGGACTAGAAGGCCCCCAAAGTCTCTTCCAGCTCTATTCTGATTAAAATGAAGAATAACCTTTGGGACTGAAACCAGAATCAGCCACAGAAAGGTGAGGCAAGAGGTTTTCATCAGCTTTTCTACTCCTACTTAGTCTGAGAAAATGGCCTCCACATTGTCTCCATGACGTTTTCCATCCTAGCCAGTTTCTCATTCTGTCTATCTCACTTTATAGAGAGCTTTTTAGAAGCTGCTTTCATTTTGCTGTTTTTTGGTCTGTAATGATGGGTCCACGGGGTTTCTCACAAGGATATAACTTCTAGCAAAGGTGTTTGATTGGCCAGGTCCTCAGCAGATGGGATCTTCCAACCCTAATCCATCCCACTTTTTCCCTTTTTTAGCAATACCTGCAAATGCAGGAAGAACTAGAGATACTGTAAATCTCCATGGAGATTCTCAGTCATCCAAGTCATAGTTGTCCCAAAGGTGCTTTTTCAAAAGGCAACTGAACTTTATTGATTTTTAAGGGATTTTATTTCCTCTGGACTGAAAGGGTGGTGGAAGTGAGCAGCTGATCTATTTCTAAGTTGAAATGCTATTCATTGTGTATGGTTAACTGTATTTTTACTTCTAGATGGTTTGTTAAGATGAACTAAACCCTCCACATTCTCTCCAGGAGGAGGAGAGAGAGATGTTCTCCCATGCAGTTTTTCATCCTAGGCAGGTTCTGATCCTGTCTGTTTCACTTTGTAGTCTTAGGAATGGCTTTCATTTTGCTGATGTCAGACTTGCCCCAGTGCGATCTCTTAGGAAAGAAAGCATCTCAACTCCATTTAATTCAGTGGTTCTCAACCTGTGGGTCGGGACCCCATTTGGGGTCGAACGACCATTTCACGGGGGTCGCCAAACAACGCAGTCCGCCATTTTTTTCCCCCTTTTCCTTAGCTGTGCTACTCCTTTTTATTCTATTGGCTTTTGAAAGCCAATAGAATAGACTCTCTTAAATAGAGTCTAATTCTATTGGCTTTCAAAAGCCAATAGGAATTGTCCAGGCTGTCTCTGCCCTGCTGAGCCTGCCAAAAGTCCCATTCTGCAAACGGTGCTGCCCCAGTTGAGTAGTCCTCGACTTACGACCGGTTGAGTAGTCCTCGACTTATGACCGGTTGGGGGTCGCGGCATTAAAAAGTTTGAGAACCACTGATTTAATTGAAATGATCGGTTCTTTTACTAAAGAAATGTTGGTTGCAGTAGAGTCAGACCACAACTAAATTTATGGAATGGAATGGAATAAGAATTAAGAGTAGAAAATAGAATAGAATAAGAATTAAGAGTAGAACAGGAAAGAAACGAACAGAATAGAATAGAATAACAGAGTTGGAAGGGACCTTGAAGGTCTTCTAATCCAATCGCCTGGTCAGGCAGGAAACCCTATACCACGGCTAGGCAATCTCGGTTCTTTTATGACTCACGGACGTCAACTCCTGATCAGGCAGAAAACCCTATACCAGGGGTAGACTGACTCGGGAATTCTGGGAGTTGAAGTCCATGAATCATAAAAGAGCTGAGGTTGCCTACCCCTGCCCTATACCATTTCAGACAAATGGTTGTCCGATCTCTAGAGCAGTCACAATTTCTGGAGGCAAGTTGTTCCCCTGATTAATTGTTCCAACTGTCAGGAATATTTTTTCTTAGTTCTAGGTTGCTTCTCCCCTTGATTAGGAGATACAAATGGTTTTCCCTCCTCCCAGCCCTCCTCCCTTGACCAGTCCATCTTCAACCAATAAGGATCCACCTAGGTATTTTGAGAACACTGAGATGTTTGGGGACATCCACATTCTTTCTCAGGGTACATGACTTCAGGTGCTGGTACAAACTGTTTCAGAGCTTCTTTGTACTTCCATGTCCCCTCCTCCCTGTTTCCCATCATGTACACACACAGGTTAATTGCCCATTTGTCCCCCATGTCCTCCCTTCTCCTAGCCTTTGCCAGCAAGCCCCCCCCCCCCATTTTCATGGAGATCTTCCTTAGGGACAACTAGGGGAGAATGAACATGTCCAAACTGAAAACCGGTATTTTCAAGGGAAAACTTCCTCAAGCAGAGTTAGGACATCCATCCACCCATCAATCAGAATAAACCTGAAAGAGACATTGGAGGTCTTCTGTTCCAACCCCCTGCTCAAGCAGGACACATCAGTCGATGCTTCCCCTTTCTCCGATGTAAATTTGGTGAACCTGTTCTCTCTCATCATCCAATTTTTGAACAAAGTCAGCTTTCAAGAGTCCCTCCTGTATCTCTTGAACTGAACCTGAAGGAGAAGCAGAGTTGATGGGGACCCACCCTGAGACTCAAAAATGATTTTCCCCAAAGCATTAGGGATTTGTATTCTGCAGTACAGGCGGCAAGAGGGAAGCCTGTGACTACTGTAGATATGAACCTAATACCATGTTTTGAACACGGCCTGCTAGAAGCAGGGAGAAGAATCACAAAAAGAGCTGTGGGAAGTCAACTCCCCAGAGAAGGAAATATTAAAAGGGCAGAAAAATATATTTCCTTCAAGGATCTTAAAGAGACAGAAAAGCATGCCCAGTTTTTCTTGATAGCCCCAGGTCTCCCTCCCCCAAGCAGAAGCCAGCTCTGTACAAATGCAGGTGTAAACCATCAGGAAAGTTTGAGCCAGAAGCTCAAGAAGACAAAGACCTAAAATCTGCATACCTCACCTGTGAGAGGACATGGTAGGATTAACTCACAAATACCAGAAAGGCACACCCAGGTCAGATTACGTGACACAGGAATACAAAGCCTGAAACAGGAACAGGACCCACTTCAAACAAAAGGCTAGATAGGGTACAAAAACCTACCGTATATGCCGGCATATAAGGCAACTTCCGCAAGCGTTAAAATCGGCGCCAAAGACGGGGGTCATCTTATACGCCAAGTCGTCCTATACACCGGAAATATTGGTAGTTTCCAGCGTATAAGATGATGTTCTAGGAATGCGACTCGGCGTCAAAGACGGGGGTCGTCTTATACGCCGGATCGCCTTGTACGCCGGGATATACGGTACTACCCATGTGCTCAGGCCCTTCTTTTCTCTGGTCTTTCCTGCAAGAACCATCTTTCTGGCTTTTCAATAAACTGCAACCTTCTTTCTAAAGCAGTTGCCATGTTCTTTATTTATCCCCAACTTGGATGAACCAAGATAAAGACTTTTCTTTCAACAGAGCTAAGAGAAAAATAGAAATGGTGGTGGGAGTTTCAGGAATGTTCAAATAAGGGATGCAACAAATGATGCTTAATTCCTTTCACACCACCATTTGTGTCATGTATCCTTTTTTCTCTCCCCCAAATAGGTGGTGATGTGAAGATAGAGGGTTCTAGCCAAGCGATGGCAACACCTTTTCTAACAGCCAAAAAGGAAGATGCGGAAAAGATGAGTGAAAAGGAAAGGCTTGGGGGAAAGGAGGAGCTGAAGAAATACTCTAGTTTCCAGTGTGCAGATATCGGCTCTTTCTTGCACAGTGATGATCCCCAAGAAAAAGGAGCATGTCCAGGGTGCGGGAAAATACCCAGAGATGAATTGGGATTATGTGATTGTGTAGAGAAACAAAGTGAAAGCGGGGAATGCTCGAGAAGGACCCTTCCTCTTACTTTTCATCAGAAAATACAAGAGGGAGAGAAACTGTACAAATGCACGGAGTATGTGGAAAACTTTGGTACAAGCCATTCCTTCACATCCCATAAAAACAGTCCCAAAACAGGGGCTCCATACAAATGCCTGGAATTTGGAGAAAACATCAGTCAGAAAAGTCACCTGAATTCCCATCAGAGCATCCACAAAGGGAGGAAGCGGCATCAATGCATCACCTGCGGAAAGAGCTTCAGAATGAGCAGCTCTCTAACTTCCCATGAATGCATCCACAGCGAGGAAAAGTTGTATCAATTCAGGGAGAATAGAACGAAGCTTACCCAGAGCCAGGAACCAAATTCCTGGGGAAAAAAACCCACTGGGAATGATTCATGTAAATGCCTGGAATGTGGGAAGAGCTTCCGTTCTGCAACTCACCTCACTTATCATAACAGGATCCATTCTGGGGAAAAACCATATCATTGCACAGTGTGTGGAAAGAGCTTCACCCAAAATGGCTATTTCAATTTACATAAGAGGATCCACACCGGAGAGAAGCCGTATAAATGCACAGTGTGTGGAAAATGCTTCACGGCCCGTGGTGCCCTTAATTCTCATAAGACGATTCACACGGGGGAGAAACCCTATGAATGCCTGGACTGTGGGAAAAGCTTTGCCAGAAGCGATACTCTAACCTTACATAACAGGATCCATAAAGGGGAGAAACCTTATAAATGTCTGCACTGTGGAAACAGCTTTAGTCAAAAAGTGCATCTTCAGTCACACGAGAGGATCCACACAGGGGAAAAACCATTTCAATGCATGGAGTGTGGAAAGAGCTTTTGTGCCTCAGAAAAACTTACTGCCCATCGCAGAAGCCACACGGGGGAAAAGCCCTTTCAATGCCTGCAATGTGGAAAGAGCTTTGCCAATTCTGGTACCTTTCATGCCCACAAACGGATCCACACGGGAGAAACCGTACAAATGCCTGGAGTGTGGGAAGAGCTTCTACAAATCCAGCCACCTAACTTCCCATAACAATATCCATACTGGAAAGAAACCATATCAATGCACCGAATGTGGGAAGTGCTTCAATCAAACAAGTCACCTTAATAAACATAAAAGGATCCACACAGGGGAAAAGCCTTATAAGTGCACCGAATGTGACAAATGCTTCACCGGCTCGGGGGCCCTTGTTTGCCACAAAAGGACCCACACCGGAGAGAAACCATACGAATGCAAGGAATGTGGAAAAGGCTTTGGTCAAAAAAGAACTTTAATAATACATTACAGAATCCACACAGGGGAGAAACCATACAAATGCACAGCGTGTGGAAAGAGCTTTAGTGATCCTCACGAACTTGTTTCCCATGAAAGGATCCACACTGGGGAAAAACCCTATAAGTGTGTAGTGTGTGGAAGGGGCTTTAGGACCTCCCGTGACTGTGGTTCCCACAAGCGGACCCACACAGGTGAAAAGCCATACCAATGTGGGGAGTGTGGAAAATGCTTTAGTCAAAATTCCTCCCTTCATATGCATAGAAGAATTCACTCAGGAGAGAAACCATATAAGTGTATGGAGTGTGGAAAATGCTACAGTCGTAGTGGTGCTTTTAATTACCATAGGAGGACACATACTGGTGAGAAACCAGATAAAAGAGTTGAACGTAGAAAAGTAATTAGTTAGAATCAGTCACGTAAAATCGGTAGAAAGATTCATTCACCGAAGACGCCATTAAATGTATCAAGCGTGGAAAGAGCTTTTTTTAAAATAAAATAAAATAAAATAAAACTTTTATTTTTCTTGTTAAAAGATTTGCTCATTGGAGACACTACTATCAATATCTCAAGGTGATAAAGTGCTTCGGTGCCTCTTGTTTGCTTATTCCCATATATTGATTTAGCTGGAAGAAACTGTAGAAATACACTGAATGTGGAAAGTGTTTCTGAAGCACCAGAAACCTTACTTTCCATACGTCTATGGAGATTCTCAGTCATCCAGATCATGGTTGTCCCAAAGGTGCTTTTTCAGAAGGCAACTGGACTTTCTTGTTTTTCTTCGAAGACGTTTCGTTTCTCCTCCGAGAAGCTTCTTCAGCTCTGACTGGATGGTGGGGAATGGAAGGATTTATACTTGCAGAAAGCCGGTCATTTGCATTCTTTTACAAATCTCTTTCAAGACATTTTCTTTTCTTCGAAGACATTTAGCTATGCACTTTGGGATGAGCACCCTTCCATTGGACCTGTGCTTGTCTTCAACAGCGAAGGACAGAAAACATCCTACAGCCAAGAAGACTCCACCCCCATTTGCACCACTCAGGCCATCCTGAGGACGCAGATAAACCTCCAAATGGCCTCAAGGACTCTCTAAAAGAATGCAAATGACCAGCTGTCTGCAAGGAATATAAATCCTTCTTGATTCCCCACCACCCAGTCAGAGCTGAGGAAGCTTCTTGCATGAGAAGTGAAATGTCTTCAAAGAGAAACAAAAAAGTGCAGTTGCCTCCTGAACAAGCAACTTTGGGGCTTACTTTCCATTAAAAGACATGTAAATGAAGGGGGTCTTAATGGAGCTTTGACGTGAA